ACAGCTGTTTTTCTTGGAGCAAGGGCTCTGTTAACAGCTGTCCTCGTCGGAAATGCTATCAATTATTAACCCGGCAGTCGGTTTTCTTTCAAAAACAGTCCTCGAACGCTCTCCAAAAGGTCAGCATTTGGCTGCTCGGGAGGGAAAGTGGGAAGCTGTTCCGTGAAGTGGCTTCTTTGCTGCGCATCAGCTTCCACATCTGGGAAGTGGGACTTTGGACAAGTGTCTTCCGAACATGGGGTCATCAGGATCTTACATATGTGAAATCTAGGACCAGCTGGGGCACTGGATATTAGCCATTATTTTTAGTGTTGTTAAGAGCAATTCTGTCTGGCCAACTTTCCGTTTCCAGAAACTTCCCCGCCCCCACTGTCAAGAAATCAACATAGGAAACATTTGTGTAGTGACGTTTTTTCCCCCTGTCATTCATGGGAAGCACCCAGACTTAAATGCAGGGGGAGATCTGTTACCGTCTTTTTGCAAAACATTTATTGAGTGTCTGCTGTATGCCAGACGTGCCGTGAGCCCTAGTCATTAGGAGGAAAAGCAGCCTGTTCTCAGGGTCATGGGGACCAGTGAAGTGCTCTTCCTTTGGCGGGGAGGCCAAGGGGAGAATACAGACCACTTGAGAGCAGGTGGATGGATGATACCTTTCTAGCTGGGAGAGGGGTGGGCTTGCATTAATTACCCCACTCTCCTGAGGACCCAAGGACAAGTACAACCCAAACCACACTCACTGCCATCACGACAATTCTGACTCATAGTGACCCTACAGGCCAGGGTGGACGGTACCCTGTGAGTTTCCAAGCCTGTAACTCTTTTTGTTTGTTTTTGAGATATATCTATCTATCTATCTATCTATCTATCTATCTATCTATCTATCTATCTATCTATATATATACACTTTTAAATTTCTCTGTAAATTATTTTATTGGGGGCTCTTGCAGCTTTTATAACAACCCATACATCAATTGTTATCTAGCACATTTGTACACATGTTGCCATCATCCCTTACTTAACATTTGCTCTCTGTTGGAGACTTGGTATTAGCTCCTCTCTTCCCCCCTCCTTCCCCCACCCTTCCCCCCTCCCAAGCCTGTGACTGTATGGGTTTAGAAAGCCCCATCTTTCTCCAGAGGAGCAGCTGGTGGTTTCAAACTGCTGACATTGTGGTTAGCAGCCCAGCCTGTAAATAGTGTGCCACCAGGTTCTTTTGAAAGAAGGCCACTTTGATTATAGAAGTTTTCCACACCACTCTCCGC